AAAAGAATTGTGTGCTAGGTAGGTATGTTTTCTGACCCTAAAGCAATAAAGTCAGAAAATTAAACATATGTAAACACAGAAGAATTTAGTGATATACATTTGCATCTTCTTAACCCTAAACCTATGAAAGGGGCATTTATATAAATATCAAACAAACCTTATGCATTTACATATATCATACCTAAACTTTCACATTTTCACTTTTAGCACTCAAATCTTTAATATCAAACAGAAAATAGTGCTTAATCCTAATTCATTTTTGAAAGTGAAATATAATTTTACATGCATAGAATTATGTATGTAAATATGAAATTTTTGGTGTGCGAAGTGTAAATATCGAAGAATTGTGAGCTAGATGTGTAAGTCATCCCAACACTAAAGCAAACAAAAAAAATTAAAAAGGTATTAAATGTATGCCTAAGAATTGATTGGTTTGTATGGGCCTTACATATCTCACTCATAAGAAAAATTATTTCATACGGACGGACACCGCATGCAAGATGCATGCAGAAGGAAGAGGGTATTGAGGGCTTGGGTGCAGGAGATGCGTGATTAAATGAGCTTGGTAAGTTAGGTTTTATTTAAGTTATATAAATATTATATTATTAAAAGTTATGTATATATTTTGTAATTTATGCAAGTGATATAGAAATAGAAATGATTGTAGATTATTCTTATATTGAATAAGAAAATTTAAATGCTAATAAGAATCAGAATAATGTATCATGACATTATACTTGATATTTAATTAGTAGTAAATAAATACTCATAAAGTTTGAAGAAATAAATTTAAGGGATCAAAAAATTTTTTTTTTTTTTAAAATATAATCTTAGAATTAAATTTTATTAAAAATTTTGTAGGTCTAAAACAGAAAGAGGTAAAGTCAGATTAAACGATAAGATTTCCAGCAAACTGAACAATGTAAGTAATTTTACTTTTAACTTATAATAGTTTTTATTTCTAGTGAACTGAATTTATTGATTGTTACTGAAACTTGATTGCACCGTTTATGAATTGCATAAAATGAATGTGTATGCATATTTGACGGCGATTTAGTTCATGTGTTTATGATATTAGTGGGGAACGCTAGAATACCCATGAGCATAAATGGACAGAATATTATTATTGATATATCTTAATTGACATAATTTTAGATGATGTTCCTGTGATAATTGTACAGACATAAGAAGATATAGTCTCTTTGTTGATATAGTAAAACATATTAAATGTTATGAACTATTGTGAAAAATCATATTTAAAAAAGTAAAATGTTTAATACTTATATTAATTTATAATATTCCTGAATAGCATGCCTATCATTCTTTTTTTGTTATATTACTTTAGTTTTTAACTAGATGTATTCATTGGTTTTGTAGCTCAATGTTTTTTAAATAAATTTTCAGTTTTAATAGAGGAAATATTTATAGAAGATGTGGACATCCATAAATAAGATAAATTTATTTTATTTTATTTAGTGGATCTTTTATTATGTTTGCATAATTAAATGTTAGTTATAGAAAATGAATGTAGAAGAATTTAATTTCCACAGTTTGATTGTTTGTTCCTATCTCGAAAAAATTTCAAGCCCATAATCTGTTGCGACAACTTTATACAACAAACCATTACCCTAAAAATTGAATTTTAAGTATTACAAATGTAAATATATTGGAAGTGAGTGGTATATGAGAACAGGATGGTTGTGTGTGAACCTTAAACAGTGTCGATGAGGAAAAATTATTCCGTGCGGACACCGCATGCAAGATGCATGCGGTGTCTGATCTCGGCCGTCTATCACAGCGGAGGTGGGGCCCACTTTCAAATTTTTTGTTTCCATCTCCGCGGTGATGGACGGCTGAGATCGGACACCGCATGCATCCTGCATGAGGCGTCCGCACGGAATAATTTTTCATCGATGAGGGCGAAACAACATTGAGAAATGTAGGAATATGGACAAAGCGGATGATTATCTTTGTCAAGAAAATCCACCGTATAGCACAATCAGTTATTGCTGGTTTTTCTGTATTGATTGTTACTTTGTTTGGATGAGAATATAATGGCAAAAGAAATGGAATTTGAAAGTTATACTCGTGATTTTACATATTAAAAAATAATTAAAATATTTAATAGTTCAAGTTCCCAAAAGGAATTGATGCCTCATTCAATGCAATGTTAAAAGACATACATATAAAATACCAGAAGTAAGAAAAATTATTCCATACGAATATCGCATGCAGTGATACATGCAGTGTCCGATCTACATCGTCGATCACCGCAAAGATGTATTTCGGCGGGCCCCATTTTTAACATTTTTTTTAAGATTTTTTTTTTGATCGACGGTGTAAATCGAGCACCGCATGCATCTCTACATGAGGTGTTTGTATGGAATAATTTTTCCACAAGGAGGGTGTCATTTGGTAAAAATCAAACGTACAATAGACACTATCTAATATAAAACAATTCCTATCACACAAACATAAGTCAATTGTAAGAAAGAAAAGTTCAATAAGCAAGATGCACAAAATTTTAATAAAATTTAAGGATATATAAAAATGCATAAAATAAAGTATTGAGAGTTCATCTATTGAGAAAAATCTTTTGAATAAACTCATGGCATGCATGCACATATATTAAAATGAATAAACATGTACATATGGAAAGAAAAATTCACATAAAATCTAATAAATGCAGTAAAAATTTTCAATCTATTTTGGCTTGAGTTGTAATTGTACATGCAAATTTGCTTTTCATTATATGGGGTATATGCAAATTAGGATCATATTTTAAAGGCATGGAATTGACATTGGCCTTCCATCTTAAATAATTTTATGCAATTTGTAGTAGTCTTCATGCCAAAGGTTGTCATGTGATTTCCACCACCTATAAGTTTAGAAATATACAATTAGCCTAAATAAAATATATTCATAGTCTTTGCCAAAGAGTCATTGTCTTCATGTTAAAGCAGGATTATTACCATTCTCATCGATAACTTAACTCTATCCTTTTATAATATTTTCATTGTCATATCTAAATGAAATCTTGTACTAGAATCCTCATCAATGAACTCCTGATGATGAAATCATGATAGATTAGAATTTGTCATCCATCTCTACATTCATGTTCTATGCATGCAGCACTGCAAGTGGTTTTGAATGTTAAGTAAAAACTAAGCAAATTTCTTAATTGAAGGTAATCCTTAAATAGAAAGATGTAATTGAAAGTCTCATACTAGAAATCTATAGGAGCCGGATCTACTATACTAATATGAGGCAAAATCAATTTTAGTCTACCTTGGGAAGAGAAGATACATTACCTTCCATCACAAATATTACAACTGAAACCCTTTTCTATCCAGCGTGTTATGAAAAAACGATGGCAATAAAGTGAAAAAATTTTGGATCGAAAAATTGCAAACCAGAAAATAACACATAGATTTACGTGGTTCGGCTAATTTGCCTACGTCCACGGAGTGCAGATGATTTTAGTACTTCGAGAAATTACACCATCGAGTGCCTTGACGTTTACAAGAAAATTCCCTTTCTCTTTCTCTTTTCATTTCTCTCTCTTAGCTCTCAAGAGGACTTAGCTTAACACTTATGACAGGCCAAAAGAGGCTATCTAAAGAATCGAGAGAGAGGTAGGTGAGATGCGGTAAGTGAGGTGGGTAATTCACAGGCTCCATATATTTAACACAAAGCTCATAAATAAAATGTAAAAGCTCACCCTTAAAACCTATAAGAAATCAACCAAGTCAATATGGTTGAATAAACCAACATAAAATCATTTGAATCAACAAGTTCATGTATGCAAGCAAGTAAAAACTTCTTGTCATGATCCATATTCTTACAGCAAAACAATGGTGGGGAAGAGATGGAAAGGACATGTGCTCTTAAAAAACAATAATAAAAAGGAGATGACAGGAGTCTTTGTGGGGAGCTCAAGAGATCGAAATCCCCCATGTGGGCACCATGTGAGATTACCTTTTTTTCATCAAAGGCGACGGAGACAGAAGAAAAAGTATAAGCCCCCACATCCCCCACCATGTTTCCCGGATCCTGCATTTCTACTTTTCACATCACTTCAATTATCAACCAAGCGAATAAAAGAAAATTCAAATTAACCTTAATCCATCACATAGCTTCTTTCCTAGCATATGATCTAGATCCATTTCTATTAATTTCAGCTTTTTTTTTTATGTTTTTCCTGATGAAAAGAATATGAACAAGTCCGGGCACATCAGGAGTCCACTTGAAATGTACAATAGCAGCATTAATGGTGTAATTGGTATGCCTATATTATGATTGTGGGCCTTGAGCTCCCATGTGCGCTCATGTGGTGTGTCTTCTACTACAAGTCCCCCTATCCCAGAACCAAGCCATGAGACTCAATTTACTTGCTTTCAATTTCTCTTTTTAAATCAGATTTTGTCTTCCTCTTCTTTGTGTTTAGCCCCTATAGTAGATCTCTGGTACGTTCTGTTCCAACTTAGTATTCTAAGATACTAATTTTTATTAGAAGCATGACTAGGCAGAGCAGTAGAAGGCAAGTTGATGTGATTCTTCAGTGTTCTGAAATGCCTCCAAATTAATACTAATAATAATAATCCCTGTAAGTTTTATAGACTTTTAAGTGGGGAACGCATGTTGGTGGGTGGAAGAGGAAATACATAGAACTCCAAGCAAGCTTAGCTCAGTTTTGTTCGAGATGTGACAAGTTTGACAATTTGGAAGTAAAAAAGAGCTTGTTTTAAGCATTAATTAATTAGTTTTAATTATTTGTTTGTTACATAGTTTGCACCAAAAAGAAACCATAAATGTCTTCGTATAAAGTTGTATTATATATAAATTTTGGGTAAATACATATTATAATCTTACCAAAGGTAAAATATTTTATTCGATCTACTTCAAACTTTACAAGTATTTTCTCATTGTAATTTAACTCTTTAGCTTTTACAAGCCAAACTTATTCCCATTAACAATTACAAACCGAAGTACTTTCCTGGCTTCCTCACACTCTTAGCTCTCACTCATCACCATGCAAGTTGCACTTAAAGGAATCAAAATGCATTAATTCTGGATCAATAAAGCCATGTGGACTGCTTGTATGCAGAAAATAATTCAGATAGTTCCTACCACTTATGCTCCTCTCCCTTTCCCTTTCTCCTTTAATATAAAGCAAAGCTTAACCTAGTGCTTCACATTTCTCCCTTCCTTCAACAATGCAGACTCCAAGCAACTTCAAGCACGACTTCCTTAAGCATTTGCTCTCTGGACTCCATGCTGCTAGAGAATCATCAAGGGGAGTAAGTCTAATTGAGAGGGAGAAACAAATCAAGCTTCTGGCTGATGCTGCCATGGCTTTGGCTAGAGGACATGGTGCAAACTGGAGCCGAGCAATAATTGCAGGTATGCTAAAGCAGAAAAAAGACGAGGCTTTCGTTGCGAAGAAGCTCTATAAAGGATCTGAAACCTCTGTTTCTCCAACAGGCTCCCATGGACGAAAAAAGATCATGAAAAAGAAGAGCTTTAATGCCCGGCTGAAGGTGAGGAAGAAAGGATTCCATTCGCCATCATCATGGAAAGTTATGCCAAGTGTTCTAGCAAGAAGAATTGTGAAGAAGCGGACACAAGTGCTGAAACGCATTATACCAGGGGCTGAAAGCTTGGATGGTATCTCCTTGCTTAATGAAACTCTAGACTATGTTGTCTATCTTAGAGCTCAGGCTAACATAATGCAGCGAATTACAAGAGTCTTTGGGATATAGAAACCCGTTTTAATTAAAGCCATTAGAGAGTGAATTTCTGCTTGTTATCGTTAAATATGCTGTAATATTTTCAATTGAAGTTGAGGCTAATCTCCATGTTTGTTTCAGTGGGTTTGATTGTGAAACGTTCACGTTTTGCTGTGTAGAATCTAGAAAAGAGATCATTATCTGTTTCATCATGAAGAACTGAAGAGGAGAGTTATTGGAAAGCTGAGGGCTACATTTACAGAAGTAATGTGCCTTATCAATATGTTTCCAGAGTATGATAAGTAAGTAAAGGGTTCAAGTGGCTCCATTATTTTCTTCCAATATTAGAATATTGTTACTCTGCAGCCATTATTGCGACATGTGATCAGGTTTATTTGTAAGAAAATCTGCTTAGACCGTTGGTGACCGAACAGTATTGATTTTTTTTAAAAATATATTTATGAATTTTTAGGTATCAAATAAATATTAGAATATTGTTACTCTGCAGCCATTATTGCCACATGTGATCAGGTTTATTTGTAAGAAAATTTGCTTAGACCGGTTGGTGACCGAACAGTATTGATTTATTTTTAAAATATATTTATGAATTTTTAGGTATCAAATGTGTAAAAATATGTATTGTGTGATATCTATTTAAGTTTTGCTATTCATTTTTGTTTTTTGCTACTGCTATGAGATTGCACCGCGAGCGGTCTCAGAATGGTTAATGAACCGGAATCATCGTTATAATTCTCCTACTCGTTTTTTATTTTTAATTTTTTTTTGTTCATAATGTGTCCAGATGCAGTATATTATATATACTTGTCTGTGTGCGCGCATACTATCGTGGTTTGTTGGTAAAGCAGCTTCTATGAAGGTCGTAAGTCCTCTCAAGTCACGAGTTCGATTCCTCCCATGTGTAGGGTGTGATACTCGAATATTTAGCACGCTTAGGTATGGTCGAAGCTTGTCTAGCAGTCTCCGACATTCCTATATATATACATATATATATATAT